CTGCTTGGAACTCAAAATTAGTTCCTTGCAGTGAAGGCCTTGTCATTCATTTAATTGTAATTGTTTTGCTCCTGGCTAAAGTTCCAGATATTTACTAGAGGCTTGTTCACTTTACTTGAACCAACCTGTCGTCCCAGATAGGACACAGACCCACCTCGCAGGCAGTGTTCTACCTCCTCACAGAGGCCTCTCAAACTATGACACTAGTATTAGCTGCTGTTTCTTCTCTTTTAAACATTTATCAGCTTAATATTATAAAGGGCTTATTTTGTTATTATAAACAGTATTTCAGGGTAATCATTTAATCTAAAGTTCCCAGTAATGCCCCAAACACATTTTAGCATAACTAAAATATCTCCTAATTTAAAATGTAGTCCCTTATCTTAAATTATATTGAATTTAAAAATTCCTAAAAATTCTGTACCAGTTGGTACTGATAATGCATATCTCATAAAACCCTAAAATTTTTGCCAGGTCATGTTACTGTAACATTAGGAATATCCAAACGTCAAGATTTACCTCTGGGAACTTGCCAGGTTGAATTATCCTAGTATTTTTAAATTTCACAAAAATATTAGTAGATGAATTTAGGTCCTCAGAAAGTTGAGCCGATCCCAAAATATAAACATCTCACAAAGTCTAGTGGTTGTGTATCTAAAAGGCTCAAAAGCCAAGTATGATAAGCAACATTCTTTTTTTCATTTATTTAACCCTAAAATAAAGCATTAGTATAGATGCTATAGAAAACAATGATTCACTATTGCTATAATTTTAGAATCTCATATCATAAAAGCTGAAGTTTTCTACTGGCCAATATTAGGTGCTCATCTTTCACTCTCCCAACATCAATCTTTCTTACAATTAAATCCATTCTTTTTCTTTCTTTGGAGAGTGTGGTCAGAAACCAAACTCAGGACCTCACATTTTACCACTGAGCTCTACTCCCACCCACATCCATTGTTTAAAAGGTAGAAGAAAATGTTTTAACAGTGGAAAAATGAAACAGGGGAAGATGAGATACCTTGAAGTATGAAAGTCAAAAAAATTTCTTGTTAGAGACCTGTTCTCCAGAAACCCTAAACTCCTAATTCCGTGAATCTGCCTATGTCTCTTTGCTTTCCTGTCCCTGTGTCCCCTGCAGGGCCAGGGGAAAGTTAGTCCCTTTTTCCATCTACCATCAACTTGACTCACTTCTACCCTCCGAGGAATGAGTGCAGGGAAGAGTCTATTCTGTCAGTCAGACACAACATACTTAGTGAAAAACTTGCTTGAGGTCAGTGCTAGCCATCAGAGACCTTCTGTACTGTATGGTAGAATAGCATAATTCACAGACCCCAGGAGCACAGGGAAACCCACTGGAATGTACCAGTCAGACTCATGTAAGAAAGGCCTTCAATCTATGTTCAGATTTTCACTGCATAGTCTCACAGATCTCCTAAAGCATTCCAACTTGAACATTGTTGCTGTTGCAAGGAGTTTCTGATAGGAACACATACATAGTACTTCTGTGGGTAATGAGGCATCAAAGGAAAAGGTACAGAACACTATCCTGTGGCATGATAGCACCTTCTTCACATATAAAAACTAAAAATGAAATGAGAATATAACAGGACCATGTAAATCCATAATATCTGGCATGTACATAGGTTTGAGATTTGGGACTAATAAAGTTTTTATCTGAAGCATACGAGGGCCTTCATAAAGTAGGGCAGTTAAAAGAGGTGCAGTGCTGGGTGCTAGTGGCTCACGCCTGTAATCCTAGCTACTCAGGAGGCTGAGAGCTGAGGATTGCAGTTTAAAGCCATACTAGGCAGGGAAAGTCCATTAAGACTCTTACCTTAGGGCTGGGAAGGTGGCTCAGTGGTAGAGCGCTTGCCTTGCATGCCTGAGGCCCTGGGTTCGATTCCTCAGCACCACATAAAAAGAAAAAGCTGGAAGTGGAGCTGTGGCTCAAGTGGTAGAGCACTAGCCTTGAGCTGAAGAGCTCAGGGACAGCACCCAGGCCCAGAGTTCAGGCTCCACAACCGACCAAAAAAAAAAAAAAAAAAAGACTCTTACCTCATTAACCACCAAAAAGGCAACATGGAAGCTGTGGTTCAAATGGCAGAGTAGTAGCCTTGAACAGAAAAAAAGTTCTGAGACAGTGCCCAGGCCCTGAGTTCAAGCCCCAGAATGGCACCCAAAATAGGTAGATAAATAAAAGGAGCATCAAGTTGTGGTATAGTTTGGTGGTAGAGCATTTGCCTAGCATGCACAAGGTCCTAAATTCCCTATCCATTGCTAGTGAGATTACACATAGAGCAATGTGGGTGGAAGCACATGAGGTAAGTCCAGAACTGCTCTCCAGCCAAATGTTCCCTGAAAAAGATGAAGGAACAGATAAGGTAGATAGGACATGTTCTGTCCTTGCTCTGTGAGTAACAGAGTGAGCAGAACCTGAGAAAGCTACAGCTTACAAAGTGAAATGGTCAAACGTTACATTGATTCAGGTTCTACTTGAAATGAAAGAGATTCTGGAAAGATGGAGGGAAAGGTATCCTGTGAAGTGACATTATGTTTATTTTTTTATTTATCTATAAATAGGTGTAAAAGGGATTTCAATTCAGCATGTCAATTTATGTGTACAATGTATTTTTAAAAAATTTTTATTGTTATGGTAAAGATGTACTGAGGAATTAGTTACATAAATCAGATAAAGAGTACATTTCTTTTTGAACAATGTCATCCTGTATAATGCATCTTAATCATAATCAGTGTCACTCCTTCTAGAATTCTCCCCCAAGTCTAGCTATCCCAGCTGCTCCTGTTCTCTCAAGTTCCTAGTTCTGTTTTCACATCTATGCATTAAATGTTGTGACTATATTCCCCATCATTCCTTCAGCTTTTTTTGCTTGGAACTGGTGTTCTAATCTTGACAAACTACGCTTTATTTGTGCCTTTTTTGCTGGTTATGTGGAGATAAATCTCATGGATTTGTTGGCTGGGGATGGCTTCTAACCACAATTCTCAGATCCCAGCCTCATAAGGAGCTATGGTTATAAGTGAGAGCCACAGTGCCCAGTTTTATTTAATTTATTCTTGACTGCAAGGAAGGAAACTGAAGCTTTAAAAGTGACTTGCTATAAGCCGCACTTGTACCAAATGGCAAGGCTTGGGTATGAACTAAACATGCCATCTTCCTCTTCCAGTGATAAATATACATCACAGAAGCTTACCATCATGAGACTGGCAAAATTTGGTGGACCTGCATAATTCCTTAATTCTCTAGGTTCCAGAAATCAGTCTTTATAGATTTATCAAAATACTGTGTGAAACCTTTTTTTTTTAAACCAGAGTCATGGGAACAAATTGATTGTGTGAGTTTTATGTTGTATTTTTTTTGCATTTAATTATAGTACACTCTTGTTATCTTGTGTGTATGTGGTTCCAAGGAGACTGTCATGTAGGAAACAATGATCAGCATGCAGAGTTCAATACTGTACCTCAGCCACATGATTCATTTATCCCCATAACACTGCCCTACTTCTGCCATGCCATCTTCCAGAAAACATAATTTGCACTCTATCCTTTAGACTAGATATACTCATTTTTACCTTGGTTCTTGAGTAATGCTTGCTTTGGGGGAGGTAGATTTTCACAAAATGCAGGGCAAAGCGATCGTGCAGTGATTTAAACATGGCTAACAATACATAGGACTGACTGAGCACTATATTAGCCAAGCTTCATACTGAGGCATTAGGGGATTAAACAAATTTTGTGTTGTCCTGGGGCTTGAACTCAGGGCCTACACACTGTCCCTGAGCTTTTCACTTAAGGCTAGTGCTCTGCCACTTGAGCCACAGCTCCACTTTCAGTTTTTTTGGTGGTTAATTGGAGATAAGAGTCTCATGGCCTTCCTGTCCCAGCTGGCTTTGAACCACAATCCTCAGATCTCAGCCTCCTGAGTAGCTAGAATTATAAGCATGAACCACTGGTGCCTGACCAAAAAAAAATTACTTTGAAATTTCTTTTGATTTTTAAAAAAAATAATTGTGTTTTCTACCACAAGTGGTCAAAACTGTGTGTAATAATCTGTGAATACAGTAGGTTTACTGTACAATGTTCACATGTGGTGTAAAAAAAGGTATAATTTATTCAGTTACAAATAATTGGCACATGGTTTCTGTGTTGTTTTCTAGAGGGTTGTTGATAGGTATGTTACACTTTAACCTTTTGTGGTGCTCTTGAAATAACTATATATATATATATGTATGTATGTATGTATAGATAGATAGATATGCATCTCTTCCATGAGCTTTTTCACTAAATATCTCATCCTTGTGGGATGTCTCGTGACCCTTGAGTTTCAGTCCTGGAGCATTATGATACACCTCTGTAGTAGATCAGATCATAGCTATTGGTTTTCTCTGAGTACCTCACCAGTTAGATCCCTTCCCTCTACTTTAAATCATTAAGCCTTTTCAACAAGTTAGGGACCATGTTTAAAATGTCAGTGTGAGCAGGAGTGGAATAGTAAGAGTCAAGGCAGGCCTCCTAGAATATCATGTGGGAACAGCTATAGGTGGTTAGGACACTATTTCTTCTCCAGATGTGTGCAGATATATCCCTGCTAATGTTCTTACATTGAGAGCAACAGACCAACCCTTCCTTTATCCTAGTTTACGGAATCTCTTGAGTAGAAACTAATTGTGCCATAGTATATAGTGGTTTCATAATCTGGGGGGAAAATGCCTGCCAAAACTAGCACAAAACCCCTAAACTCATTTTCTCTTCAGCCTGAAAGGGGATCCGAGCCACAGGTTCTAGAGGTGAAAAGTTAATGCCTGGCTACTGCTGCCAGCCCTCTCTGTGTTTAGGCATGGTGGGAGAGTAATCTAACTCTCTTATAGCCACATCTGATCCCACTAGAGATTTTATAAATCATTACAATAAAAATATTTCTGTGTCACTCTGCCCTTGAAATAGTACCACCATTTAATTCACTCTTATGTTTGTTGCAGAGAAAGCAGCAGCTGCCAACATAGATGAAGTGCAGAAGTCAGATGTGTCATCTACAGGGCAGGGTGTCATTGACAAGGATGCTCTGGGGCCTATGATGCTGGAGGTAACACTTTCCTCATTTGTTTCTGTAATTTAAATTTTATTGATCTTCACTTGATTAGATTTAATTTCAGGTGAATTAATTAGAGTAGAATCTACACTAAGTACTACAGAGCTTGAACTTACTAATATGTGTATATGTAAATACCTATGTCCTGGCTCTTCTAGTATTAGGTTTGAAATTAACAACACAGAATTAGATTAACTAGTTTAAATTGCCACTTGTACTCTTTTTTGTTGTTGTTGTTGCTTTGTTTTGATTTGGTTTTTCTCTACCACTTGAGGCACAGCTCCATTATGGCTTGTTTTGGTGGCTAGTTGGAGAAAAGAATGTCACAGATATTCCTGCTTGGGTAGCTTTAAACCTTGAGACTTAGATCTCAACCTTCTTCATAGATAGGTTTGCAGATGCGAACCACAGATGCCTGGCAAGTACCCACTTTTGGAAAACATTTTGCAGGTCAATTACATTCTATGACATATTTTAATTTGAATATTCCCCAGTCATACATTTTATGTGTACCATGTACCTAAACCTGTATAAATAGATTAGAACTCAAGAACCTAAAAGGAGCATTATGCTTTTTATGTGTACGTCTTCAAATATGCTGGTTAATCTCAAAAATAAAGTTGAAATAAGAGACAGAATGAGCATTTAAGATAAAGAATAGTTGGTAGTTGGCTTTAACTGCCTCTGTATTAACTTTGAGAAGTTAGATGACCATCTACTGTTGAGATTTGTAGCACCAGCTTTCCTTTCTTACTAACTTGTACAAAATTCAAAGAGCTTTGCTGTACCTGATTTAAAATTAAAATTCAAGATGTGGGCTATAGTAAGATGAGAGGGAAAAAAATGTCAGTGAATATATAACAAGGAACTGCAGAACCCGAGACATAAATTATGTCAGTTCTCAGGATAATTTACTCTGCTGATGATAGGCTGAGGCTGAAAAGTACTGCATCGCCAGGAGCAGCAGCATTGTCATTATGAATCAATTCGCTTGCTGCAGCAGCCTCACATATATGTGAAATTAGGATTTTAAAACAGCCAGAACTCTTCCAATCTTACTGTCTCTTTTCAGTTGGTTCATAGATGATTTTTATTTTTAGAACATCTAATTCTATGAAAATCTGTATAATTGAGGGCAGAAGGTAGGGAAGAGACAGGAGAGATTAAAGATCATCTGACCCAGTATTTGTACTTAAGAAATAACAAAATTTGTTCCCTGAGGCTGGACCTGCTGGCCAAGAGGCTTTCAATGACCCTGTGTTGAGCCTTGTTTATCTTCTCTTGAATCACTGGCTTGAAAGCAGTCAACCACCATTTCCAGGGAAAAAACAGAAACATGTTTAACCTGATTTTCCCTACCCATTCAGGCAGTAGAAGGCCAGAGAATGCTACTTGCACTTGTTTCTTAGAAGCAGATAATAAAAACTGTAACCAGGTAGATGATAGGAATTACATGAAAGAAAGTGGGTAATTTCTTTTGGAAAACTTTTGAACTACAAACAAGAAATTGATTTGAAAATTATTGGAATTTAAATTGTTACAATTGGGAAATTTCCACACATCATGTTTATTTACTATGTCTGGGGAAATCCTAGGAAGACTTAAGGCATCTAAAAAGAAGCTTAAAAAGGAGCTTTAGTGTAACATCATTCTGCAACTCAAGCCATTTGAGAACAAGTTCATTAATCACACAAACTGATTGCTAGCTGTCCGTGGACCTGATTAAATAAAATGAAGCCAACATTTTTGCTATTTCAAAATTATTTGAGAATTCAGTGCGTCGAGCCAAGTACATGTGTAAGACATTAGTGCTACATATATTAGAAAGTGCTTGAATGAACCAGGGACTTAGGACTTGAATTTACATTTTACTCCTGTTTACATGTCATTATTTAACAGAGAAAACATGTTCCGTAGAGCTGTTTTGAGGCCTAGATGCACACTCATGCTTGCATCATAGCATAGTGGTTTCTAGGCAACAGAACCAAATGTCAGCTTTTTTTTCATCAGACCATATCGTAGTGAGCTATTGAAAAAACAGTTTTTTGAGATGAACCACTTCCATCTTTCAGTTTTATCAGATCACAAATTAGTCTTTTTATCATGGTACAAAACAATAGAAGCAATGTGCACTCTCAAAAGTGAATGAGAAGTAATATAATGATGAAAACCCTTGTTGAATGTGCAGCTAAAACAGTGAGTTTAGAAGGGATGCTAGGCACATAACTAATCACCTGACTACCTTCCTCTTCCCTGCTACTACCAATGCACAAAACTGTACAGGTTTCCTGGCAGCCTACTGTAGAAGGCCAATATAATGTTTGTTTTGCTTTGCCCTAAGTATGTTTTATACTAATGACTGCACATGACAGAATATTTAAGAAAAACAGAAAGCCAAGTAATGTTAGACTTAAATTTTTAAAAAGAAAGAATGCCTGATACCAGTGGCTCATTCCTGTAATTTTAGCAGCTCAGGTGGCTAAGATCTAAGGATCATGGTTCAAAGCCAGTCGGGACAGAAAAGCCAAGAGACTCTTAACCTTCAATTAATCACTCAAAAGCCAGAAGTGGAGCTGTGGCTCAAGGGCTAAAACACTAGCCTTGAGCAGAAAAGCCCAAAGACAGTACCTAGGTTCCACTTGAAGTCCCGGGGCCAGCACCAAAAAAAAAAAAAAAAGAAGGAGCTTCAAACTGGTTACCTTATGGTCACTTCTAGACTGAGAGAACATTCAGCTTTGGAATAAAAATAGAATTAAAAACAGATTATATCAAAGATGACTCACCAAGCAGGAATCTTGTAAAATAATAGCTTATAGAAAAAGCAAACTAAGGAGATAGTAAACACTTTAGGCCCCATCCATGTCTACTGTTATATGGAAATGTACATAAAACATTTATGTTAAATAAAGCATGTATTGTGGAGTAGCATAAACTGACTAGACCCTTTGGCCCTGATTGGTCTCAAACTTTTTCTAGTCCTGATCATGTACCTGACCCATAAAACATAGCTCTATGGGTCAAAAGGGAAAGAGGAGTTAATATAACTAGGAAAAACCCAGTGAACGACCAGACTTTTCATTGTCAGTGCAAACTCGGTGGAAAATGGACTTGGAATAGATACTGTAAGAAAATAACCTGCTCCTTGGTACCTGAAAGCATGATCTCTAGAGTCAGGTCCATCTGGATTACAATTCCAGTTCTACCACTGACTAGTTAAGCCGTCATTTACCATTTTGAGCCCAGTTTCCTCTTCTGTAAATGAGGAAAAATGAAAACATTGCTTTGAGAGTTGAAAATATAATGACAGCTGTGTGTAAGGCACAGTAAACATTCCCAATAGCTATTATTATTATTACTGTTATTATTGTTGTTGTTAGTTTACCTTTACTTTCTGAATGATCTTCGATTCTTCATCTCTTTTTCCTAATCTGGATTGAGATGACACAAAGAATGGGACTTTGAAGCCATATAAGAAGCATGCTATTGATACTTTGGTAATTTGGGAACCCACATCTTCATCTGGAAAATACGCACTAGAAATACTGAAGTTCACATGAGTTTCCCATGTCAGAAACTACATTGCTATATCACAGACCCTGTCCAGAACCTTCTCTGAACCTGCCAAACAATAAAAAACTGATGTTACTCTCAGGGTCTGAGATGATCTGAAATTCTTTCACCTAAACCCTGGCAGCTTTACAAGTGTTAAAATGGGAGAGGGAGGGTCTTTGGTCATTGTTTTTAATCTGAGGGGGAAAAAGTCTCATTGATCTCTTACTCCTATTGTATAATGTGAAAAACTATGAAACAAGGACTATGTATTAGGTTAGTAACATCAAAGTTGTGCTGAGTCTTGTGGAGTAGTTCATTTTCATTTTTAAAATACAGAGAAATGATGCCTAATCACTTTTATTTGGTAGTAGTTATAACTTGATAAATTTGGTGTTTATCACTTAGCTTAATCTAAGATGGAATCATTTCTGTTTTCCAAAACTTGTAAAGTAGCTAGAGAGATCTTTTTTCCATCCATATATGAATTGTTTCCCTTGAAGGGATCCTTCTCTTCTTAAAAATTGCATATAATATGTATATAACCATTTGTCTTTTTCTCTAGGCCCTTGATGGGTTCTTCTTTGTGGTGAATCTGGAAGGCAATGTGGTGTTTGTTTCAGAGAATGTGACACAATATCTAAGGTATAACCAAGAAGAGCTGATGAACAAAAGCGTATACAGCATCCTGCACGTTGGGGACCACACTGAATTTGTCAAAAACCTGCTGCCAAAGTCTATAGGTGAATGACATTCTGCTGTCTGCTGGGCCTCTGTCTCCCACGTCCCTTCCCCATACTGTTCACATAGATTGTTTTGGTTGGAATGGGTAAAATAGATCGGTATTTTTGTTATTTGGGAATTTGAGGGACTTGGTAGGATTTAGAGGCACTTAAGTATTTAAGATTAGAAGTCATGAAAAGAAGGATGTCTTTGGATACTGATCTTGAATTGAATGATCCTTTTGATCCTATATAAAGTACATGAAAATTATTCATATGACAAGTACTCATGACAACGATTTTCAGAGGTTTTGTTTATTTGTTTTGTTTTGTTTTTTTTTTAAATAAGGTAATAGGGCAGAAGGAATGGCTAAAATGGCCCTGAGTTCAAACCCCAGTACCACCAAAAACAAGAGAGAAAGAGAGAAAGAAGGTAACAAATTGTCTCACCTTGCCCTACCCAATACTAGCCACCTGGAATTTGTCCACCTGAAAAGTAGGTCATTAGAAGTGAGATTCAGCTCGTTTTGAGTCCTACTGGTGAAAACGAGTATGATGTGTGTATACAAAATTCTACAGGAACAAGTGGCATCGAGAGAGCTTCCAGCACATCAGCCCTGCAGCCCCAATGGGTTCTTTCCATCACAGACACTGCCTCCATAGCCCACTCACCATGGCTCAGATTCCCTGGCTTCCTCAGCTTGCTTTGGAGATACTGCCCAGAAGTGTGTGTGATGATTAAGGGCCACCTTCTGTGGTGAGGTTCACAGCATGGGCCCACATTAGTTGCTGCCTCAGAGCACTGCGATTCCCACTTAGTCAGTGCTTCTTTTTAAATATTCTCACTTAAACTGATGATGCTAAGAACATCTTCACAGATAAAAGGAGTGCATATTTTAGTACAGAATAAGGTCAGGTCTGAATTGTCAAGTGTTTCTATTCTTTTTCTTAAAACCGTTTATATTAGCGGGTCTTATTGTCATCAAGGTACATAGGAACAATCCTTTTCAAATTCCATTATGGCTAGCTTTTCCTTGACAGGATAACCCTTTGTTCAAAGCAACTGCAACATTAATACACAATTTAGGAATACTAGAGTGGGATTCCTTTATTATATTCTTTAATAAATGAAGAAGAAAGTGAATCTCTTATTTCAAGTAATGTATATTTTCAGATCTCTTCGGTGATTTCATGACTTTCTCAAAGGACCTATACTTATTAATTCACTTCTCAAAAGAACTCATTGCCATTCTTTTTTACTTTCACCATAGTATTAATTCAAATTAATAAGAACTCTTCTTCCTTTTTCCACTAATTGCTTTATATAATTTCCATGACGCGAATGAGCTTTTACAAGTGATGGTAATGAAACAAGAGTATCAGGTGTCTAGGAAAATGTAGCAGGCTGGTTGTAGGTCCTTCTTTAATTTTACTGTTTTCTGTCTAGAGCTTTTTTAATCCCTCAACAGCCTAAAGCCAGGGATTTAGCAGTAGTTTTACCATAATAACTATTGTCTACAGTGCTCATTGACTAGCGACTTCCATGGGCATTCTTGCTTTTCTTTTGGTTGCTGATTTTTATCTTCTTTTTTCGTTTTTGTACTGGACCTAATTTTTTTTTTAATAAAGTACAGGGAATGGCAAAGAAAAGAAAACCAAAGTAAAAGTTAGGATTGATACTAAATGTAGGTATTCTACAAGTTGAACATGCTTTTGTATATCTAATTTCTTATCTGATCCATAAACATGTTAATACCCCCCCAAATTAGTCATTGTTTTCCATAATGCCCTGCTTTAGTTGAATATTTCTTTCCTTTTTTTCTGTTTTTTGTTCGTTTATTTGTGCCAGTCCTGGGCTTAACCTCAGGGTCTGGCTCAAGGTTAGCACTCTACCACTGGAGCCACCGCTCTACTTCTGGCTTCTTTTTTGTCGTTAATTTGAGATACAAGTCTCATAGACTTTCCTCCCCAGGCTGGCTTTGAACTAGGATCCTCAGATCTCAGCCTCCTGAGTAGCAAGTATTATAGCACCTGGCTCAGTATCTCTTTCTTAAGTTAATTTTTAAATTGATAAATACATTTTTATACTAAAATAGAAGGTGTATGGAGTTTTGCATCGGTAAAGAAGTAAATCACATTAACATTGCATCTTTAGGGACATTTCAGTATTGTTAAAGAACTAACTATGCCTGGAGCCATTAAGAGAGATTGCATGGGAGTACTTCAGAAGCAGCTAACTTACAGCCTATACAGGAAAGTTTCTATAGAAAGATCTGTAAGACAAGGCAGTATGAGGGCTAGAGACATATTGTAAAAGGTTAAGCATCTGCCTAGCAAGTGAGAGGCCCTGTGTTTAAACCTTAGTACCACCACCACCACCACTGCTCCCACCAAAGAAAAAGAAAAAAGAGGAGAGGAAGCAGTGGGTACCTGAGTAGTTAGTAAAGTGTTTATTATAGAAGCTCTTGGAATACAAGCTCCTTAGAGGGAGTTAGGATCACCCTGATATTTTAGGTGTGGTAGCAGCAGGAGCAATTATATGCATTGGGATGCAGGAAGTTTAAGCTGGGGAAGGTGCAAAATCAGTTGAGATGGTTGGAATGGAGCTAAATAGTGAGGCCCCATCACTAATGAAAGGGCCTTCTCCTCCTGACTATAGAAGATCAAGTGCTCTAAAAAACTTGAATGTATTTAACAGTTGATATCATTCACTAGGTATAGGGTAGTAGGTAGCACATAAAACTAAGCTGCTGAGAAATCACAGGAAAACTCAAAAATAGAAACTGACATTTAATAATAAGAAATCAAGACATGGTCTTGAAGAAAGGAATATAGGTGTTTTGAAAATTCCAAGGAGGTTCCCAGGTTGTTAAAATGTTTACTTGAGAATTTCTTCCCTTCTAGATTATTAAAGTATTTAGAAAAGAATCAAGCATCTATAAAAGTAAAGTGATCCTGTTTTTTGGTAGTTTAGCGACTGAATCTGTTGTGGTTTCCTTGTAATGATGCATAATTCTTGCTTTGGTAGTGAACGGGGGATCTTGGTCTGGAGAACCTCCGAGGCGGAACAGCCATACCTTCAACTGTCGGATGCTGGTAAAACCTTTACCTGATTCAGAAGAGGAAGGTCATGATAACCAGGAAGCACACCAGAAATATGAAACTATGCAGTGCTTTGCGGTCTCTCAACCAAAGTCCATCAAAGAAGAAGGAGAAGGTAAGACAGACCTAGAGTAGTTAATGTATCTATGAATTTATTCCTCACCCTTAATAATCTATACCAAAAAAATGTAGAAGCAGTTTCTGGCTCCTTTTCAGTTGTGACTCTCTTTTTTGACAAATTTCAAATGAGGTTTTGTTTGTCTGTTTTTGTTGTTTTTGGTGCCAGTTCTGGGCTTGAACTCAGGGCCTCTCACTTGGCTATTTTCACTCAAGGCTGACTGTCTACTGCATGAGCTACACCTTCACTTCCTCCTTTTTACTGAGTAGTTGGAGATAAGAGTCTCATGGACTTTTGCCCAGGTTGGCTTTGAACTGCAATCCTCAGATCTCAGCCTGCTGAGCCCTGAGGCATGAGCCTGGCAGTAATTTCAGTTTTTAAGTTCCTAGAACAGTACTGTCCAGTAGAATGTTCTACAATGATGAAAGTGACTTATTTTCAGTGTTCAGCACGGTGGCCATGATTCACATTTCTCTTGAACACTTATAATGCATATAACCAGGGGGGTTGCATTTTTTTAATTAAATTTACATTTAAATAGCCACCTGCTACTAGTGACTGTGTCCAGTGCAGCTCTAATAGAGGTTAAATATTCAGGGGCTACAAAGT